TTAAAAATTTAAGTCTAAACAAATAGAACATGATGAATTGCGAGCAGATGTATTCATGTCATTTAATGTGTGTATCATAACGAGGTTAATTAGATTCCTAAAATTAAATTCAAACTATTTTAAAAAAAGTCTGGCAAAATAAATTCCAAATGTTTTTTGTTGCAACGATTAATGACGCATTTCTTGCAAGAAGAATAATAACAAACAGGTGATGGCATTTCCCGCATAACACATATTTTGGTCATCATATCTCTCGACAATGGTGGACGACTATTTCAATAGACAATCGGTTGGCCAATTGATAACAGCTTTGAGTAACTTCCGATCGATTTGTATTATTGTTATAGTGAAGCTGAGTTTCTACATGTGCTATTACAGACAGCAGATAAGATATGTTTTCGGTCATTCCATTTGTCTAGTAGAGATATTGGTTTATTTTTGAATACTGCTTCATTTTGTTTGGTTGCCCAAACTTCGACTAAAACTGAAGTAACCGACTTTTCTTTTTCATCTCCATAACTTGACATTTACATAGAGCATGTCAATGATGGTTACTTCGATGGCAAACGCTCAGTCAAAGGCCGGGTGTTTTATTCCACGATGAGAACATTCCTTGTTTTCCTCAGTGGTAATATTTTCCCCTGCATTATTGTCATTTAAAGACAAGAGGCTCTGTCGATATGTCTAACAGTGAAAGTAAAAGACTCGTCAAAGTTTTTTTTTTACCTGTTCTGATAGTCTCATAGAAACATTCATCCTTATTTAAAATCAAAATTCGTTGGCGAACAGGAATGTGCAGTTATTGAATTTTCGCATCGGTCTCAATAGGATATTTTAAACCAAGAGTTTATTTAATATGTTCGTGTTTTTATGCTCGATATATTCCATCCTAGCCATTGCCGTATTTTCAAACAAAATGCCTGAACAAAGTTAACAAATATATATAGTTTTACAACGTTTTCAAAATACGAAAAAAGAGGTGTTTCTTCAGTTTGTAATGACGTCTGGTAGTGTACAGAGTGAAGAAGTCAAACATTTTAATAGAAGAAACGTTTTAGAGGAGACGGTGCCTGTTCCATATTCATCAAATGAACGTTTGAGTCATCATATCCACATTCATCTCCACTTATTCCAGACGCAATTCAATTTCAATTTCAATACGTTTTTATTGTCAAAAGAAAAATGGATTTGGCAGCAGGCATAACCTATTTAAGCCCTCTCCAACCAAACACTAACAAACAGTGGTCCAAGCATAGACATAGACATTAGAACACATACAAACACATATAAACAAGTTGATATTATCAAATACATTATCATAGTAGGGAAAACAACTACATATTTTTATTATGATTTAATCTAATGGTCTAGATTACCACCTTTTATTTTGATACCGAAAATATATATACAATATATACATGTTATCAAGAGAAAAGTAGACGGACGCAATGTCTCAACCAGTGTACGACTCGGATCATAATTCAATGGTTCAACGATTAGCAGTAAGACGTTTTGACAATTGCTTTTTAAACAAATAACAGAACCAATTATAACACGCATTTATGTAAATTATTGTAAAGTTCCAGAATCTAATACAAACGATACATATATAGCCGGTTTTTTGATTGTTGAAAACGAATTAAAAATGTATAGGTATTGGTCTCCTTGGATATTTTTTTGCAGATTGAAATTAAGTATTGTTTTCGGACCCGAATCAAATCGTAAGATGTTTTTGTTTGCTGATACAATCACGTGCTTTTTTCATTTTTGTTTGCAAACTGCTAATTAAGGAAGCGTTTCGCCCATTGTCCGGGTTGCCATCCAAAGAATCCGTCAATATCTTGAAATTCATATTCCAATGATGCTATGAGTTTATCGACATATGTTGGATTTTTTATGAAAAAAATCGTAATCGTTACATTATTTGACAGTATAATGGTCACCAGTTACAATGTACCAAGCTGGCCGTAGTTTTGTTGTGTGATTATTTCCCTGCGGGACTTTCCTTAATGAGAATGTCTATACCTAAACGGAAAACAACCTAAAAAAAGGGCAGTACTTTGACATGTTATATATATGGTTTCATAAGTCCCTCTCTTTATATATTTGCTGTATTTTATGTAAAAAATCTACATTCACAGCAATATCGGACACTCCTTAAATCCCTCTACAACTTCAGAACTGTTTACTCCTCCATGAATCGATTGTAACGGCGTTGTATCGTTCATGAATAGACACGACAGGCAACCGCTAATTTGGAGACAAAGATGCAATTCCAGCTATAATTGAATCGGGCTAATAACGGTTTATAGCAAAGCTGGCAACGACGACAGTCAAAGTCTGTGGGAACGGCGTTAAAACTAGCACCATAGAGTATGGTCGATACCTACTATCAAACAGAGCAGGGCACATGAAGTATTCAGCAAGCAATACGTTCAATGACATGAATCGATTCAATCATCATAAGGTTCCTCTGTTTATTACAAGTATTCAGAGCAGCGTGTTATCTTTATGTGCATAGAACAATAACATGAATTACATAAATGCTATATAACGTTCCACAAAAAAAGATTTAGAAGTGTATATGGGATTTTTTTCACACCAGCCATAATAGCTAGTACGTCTCTGTATAAGGTCACATGATTTGGTATAACATTTTTTAAAATATTTGTTTCTCACATTGAATATATATCAGACAAAGAAAGTTTAAAGACCGACTCGTTGCACTAAGAAACAAAAGAGAATGTGTTCGTGAAGTTAAACAATGTTTAGCATACCAACTCAGTAGGTTCGGGAAAAGGATTGATGTGCTGTACACATTGTATGTGATCATAAGGGGAGACTAATGCCGGTTACATCAACTTCGGATAGTTTCGTATGTGTCTTCTGCTGAAGGGATATTGGAGAAACAAACATTGGGCTGCTGCCCTATTATGACGCCTAAGATCTATATCTGTCCTTTTTCTAGTTTCCTTTTTTCCGACGATGACTTTCTAGACACGCGTTTTCAAAATACCATATCTATTGCGAGGACGTTTAACAAACAAATCCTCAGCAAGGACATTCTCTATTTTTCGAAACCACATGTCAACTTGTTCCCTTGTCAACAATCAAACAGTCATGAATGACGCCACCTGATGCAGAGACAGTTTAACGTCTTGTAGGTCCTGGTTTCGCCTCGGGTTTTTGTTGTGGTATATGAACTTTCCTGTTTAAGTCAGACGAATATTTTTCATATAGACTATGTGTATGGATTTTAGGGCTGTGTGTTGATATTTATTGATGTTAATGTTTTCTTACGTATATGGAATCTGTCAAATATAGAGAGGTTGAAAAAAATACTGTTAACATTCAATTGATATATAAATCAAAATACGACAGAACCAAAATACCGAAGTGGCCACAAAACGGTAGGTTGAACTAAAGAACGATAAAACTACGAGGGAGAGTAACACATGTATGGAGTAACAATATTAAACATCAGAATATTTTTCAAAGTTACAATCATGACATGAATTTTCAATATAATTCCTGTCATCCAGAATGAAAATCTGTACTTATCTTAGTCCTTTGTTTCCTATAAAATTCTTTCATTGAAATGACAGGAGACGATCCTATATATCAATCATTACACATCAAGATACACCAATCTTCAAATACCGTTTTTGTTCCTAATTTCAAACTTGGATCTGGAATCTGAATGGGATCCCGCGCCTTTGTGCTGCCCTGTGCTATTTGTTTCAAATTCATATTGTATTTTTAATTTAACACGATAAATCCTAACGTTTGCGCAGGGGACATGCTTTTATCAATAACATCGCATGAGCGATGCCGGAGGTCAAAGTTGGAAAGTGTTGGATAGAAACAAAAACAAAAACATAAATATTAACATATTGAAGACTAATGAGAATCAATTTGTTCTTTAACTATTATTATATATTATAATCAAGGCATTTATATACAGTAAAATAATAAAATGACTAGATTTCTTTAGTAAAAAGATATCATCAACAATCAAAGGATTAAAGTATTCCTGTTGATGTATTACATTTGTGTACCCGAACGAATACGAGACAATTACCAGCTGATAAACCCACGCTCTGTCGCCATAGACTAATATGATTACCTAAGGCACAGACACCAACGTCTCTCGGATTCTTCGTATGGGTAGGGGCGATTACTGTTCATTGGTTTATTGGCTATCATTTTCAGAATCGGACAATTATCTGTTGCAACATAAGCTGCTTTAAACGTTAATGTTTCAGCTTAACGGAAAATTCCTATAATATTTCCACATTTCAACCTTAAAATAATTTCTAGTCTTAAAATTAGCAAAGGCCGATAAGCCTTATTATTCATCTATCAAAGTATCCGTATTACAAAAGCAGAATTTATTATGCAACTACATGTTGTATTTAATGAGTCGAAGTCCTTCTGTTCTAGTTATTCTAATGGGCCACTTTAATGTGTGTCGACTTTAAATGAGTTTGCATCGATAGTTGACATCATTGCGCTATATCTGATATAACGCATTAGTCATGCACCTGATAAGAAATTATTTTCATGTTACGTTTTATTGAAATGATGTCATGTACCACCATTTCCCTCATATTCATGTAATAAAATCAGCTAAAATTCAGGTCTGTTCCTGTTTTTCTAAATTATGTTTTTAATCGTTATTGATATCCTATAATAAAATCGAAGTAGTTGAAAAATGCTGTTTAAATAATATATGATGACATATATTGAGGGGTGATATATTTTTCACAAAAAAATCATGACTCTAATATGAAGATAAATTGGACTGTACAGTTTTTCTAATGATTTTTTTATGTCACTTGTGAGACATCCCTGTGAAAAAAAACCAGCAGCATTGCGTGATGTGAATGAAGTATTTCTGCTGTTTTCAGACAACTTTATGTATTGTTATTAAAACGTGCTTTCTTTTCTGATTAACTCCTGACGAATTTTACATGAACTGGTTTCTTTTCTTTTTTCAGACGACTGCCTTGAGTTTGGTTCGCATAAGTATCGATGTCACAGCTACTCCCTAGGAAAAGGAATTGTGTCGTGCGCCAGAGCGGGCAAAATAGGCAAGGCCAGAATACGTACATTGAAAATGACTTTAGTTATCGGTATGTATACACTACGTTTATTTTATTAAACACATCACATGTAGTTTCCTAAATCTCCATGCATATGTTATGGAAATATTAATTCAAACTATTCAAATAGAATATTCAACTGTTTGTATATTATCCAAGACTAATTTGAATCAAATACATCACCGTATGCGTTTCAATCTTTTTCCATTCTAAAAATATCTTCTTACACATGTGCGTGTTTTAATCATAATGACTCAAATACATCCCAACAAATGTTTGTGATTTCGGTTGACAATCATACGATGAGTGTAAATATTACGACGCAAATAAATCAAGTATGCATATGTATGCGTTTAATCGTTATAAATCAATTATATCACCATGCAAGTTTGTGATTGTAATTTTCTATAGATCACATACATAACATATGTATGTTTCTCGATTAACTAAATCATCACGCATTGTATGTTTTTAGTCATTATAGACCAAATGCATCGCTGAGTTTGGACTGGTTTATTATGGAAATGTTAAACGTTTATTTCATATAGATACATGTAAATGTATATTTACAGTAATTAGAATTAGCAATGAATGTATATAAATATCTAATATGGTAATTGAGTAAAAAAAATTGTAAGACGTCTTTAACATTGCACAGCTGTCTGTTAACGGTGGTGTTGAACCTGGTAACTTTATTTTACCTAGTAAATCAATATAACACAGTAACTGTACACCGATATGATAATTATAAATTTTGTAAATCATATAATTATACTATTTTTGTATCTGTTTCCAGTCACAGTTTTCGTTCTATGTTGGACGCCTTATTTTTTCATGGCGGCGTGGTGGTGGATTGACAAGTAAGTAATGCATGCCCTTCCTATATTTACAACTAACAAAGCTTGAGAAAGACGGTTTTAAACTGCGATTCAAGGAAGTCTAGACAAGGCTACTAAATTTAGCAAACGTTAGTGTCTTCTATCTACTAATAGAATATTGACCTTGGGGACTGATAGCCCAAGTGTAGAATCAACCTGCTTACAACGTATATTGACCACTGTAAATACACATATACCTAGCATGGAAGCACATAAAAAGTGCTGATGCAGTAAGCCAAACGTAGTCAGTCATTTATACAACATATGGCCATTTTGTCATATTAAAAAGCCTCAGCGGAATATCTGTCGAAAACTAAAATACACGTCCGAAATGTTTTGAAACTGCTATGATAATAATAATGATAATAATTCGAGGTTCTTGTATACCGCTTTATCACCCTCTAGTTCGAAGGTCGTCTCAAAGCGGTTCACAAATTATTATCCGTGGTTATAGGCCCTTTGCACCCAGCCGATATCTTTCCAACTCCATGCTGTGCTGCCATTTTGGCGCTCACAGCTAGCATTCTACAATTCTAGCACTACCCAACCACGTACTCAAGCGGAGTAAAGTATCTTGCTCAAAGATACAACACAGTGCCATGACATGAATCGAAGTCGCAACCCCTTAGGTCATGTGTTCGGCCTCCTACCACTAGACTACCGTGCCTATATAGAAATACAGAGAAAGAGAAATCGTGGGTTTAAACATGCTTTATTTTATTACAAATTAACAGTGTTTGTCTATAGCAGATACGTTTTTACGTTAACTAATATTTCCTTTAAAACGTGCGACAATAAATTCCAGTAACAAGTTAAGGTAACGGCAAACCTAGGACACTAATGGTCAACCATCAGCGTAACCCGATTTGTTCCGTAAAATTAAACACTATGAATATGAAGTAAAAAGTTAAACACAAACATTGTACCTAATTACAGGGAACACTTATTATTTGTTAACTGAAGACAAGTCACATTGAACTTAGATTATATTTTCAAACCACGCCAGGTAAATAAATGAAGAAAAATGAATTAAATAAAAATTTAACCCTACACTCCATTATAAATTAACTTTATGAAACGATAGAGTTTCGATTATTACAATAATTCAATTCTCTCTCAAAATGCTATCATCTTATAGATATAGCATATTGCCTTGACTTCTTTGGAGCACAAGATATGTCCTTTCTGAACTATGAAGAACGAAACCGGTAAACTATAGGAAAGTTACTCCCATCTCTATCCCTCCGGTGAAATGTATTTGAATGCAATTCCACTTTAATACATGTATAAATTATAGCTGGACCAATCACGTTGTGGTACATAGATCCATTACAGGAGGCAATCACCAAACATACCCTTAAACATACGATCTTAAATACATTGTACATTGTATAACAACATCCAAAATTAAACATCAACATTTCCGTCTATTCCCTGAATCGGTCAAATAGTTGAATTCCAATACCATCTACATAATTAATTTGGTGAGAACTATTCATATCGACTATGTAACAATTCAACTTGGAGGAGGAAGACAACAGACCAAATAACATCCCCGTTAACTTCATGATCGTTTGACCTACATGTTCATTAGACTCTTAAGCTATAATTAGCTAAATTATGGTGTTTATTACCGCTTTGCACAAGCTAAACTAAAAAAAAAAAAAACTTAAAAACAAAACATGAAAAATCGTTTAATTTTATTTCATTTTTATGATTTCAGATTCATTGAACCATATTTTGCTTTTACTATTTGTATTGACAAATTGATATTTGCCGGTTTTTAATTCTGAATTATTCTAGGTTATATGATAAAAGACAAAATATAAATAACCCTATAACAGACAATACGTAAGAGATTAATATAAGTTAACAACTATATGTGACAGTCAAGATCACATTAGTGGTATAATATAGAAACCAAAATGACAAGCATGATCCGGATAAATCAGTTTTCGTTTTTCTTACGGAAATATTTGTCATAAAATAAAATAGATGTCTTTTAATGTCATTTGAATTAAGCTTGCCGTGCCTGTTATTCCAAATGCAAAGATTTTTGCTAAAACATTTATATGCTGAAATCTTGAAAATCTTATTTAATTACAACATGTACCACTAGCGAGACGTCAATATTCTTTAATTTTAACTTTCCTGTTCCTTTGTTGTTTTGTAACGAATACATGCTTCGTTAATACTTTGGTTAATCACAAGGTAACGGTTGATTTTTCTGTTTGGTTTTTATTTTCGTAGTAGCATATTTCTGCCATAAAGTTTACACAATTTCTTGAGATAATTATTGCTGCAAGTTGTGTTATCGTAACGCGACCTTCAAAATCCTATAATTAATAACATTACCTCGATTTTTATAAAATAAATAAAATAAACAGCATTTGATATAGCGCCGTATCTAGCTTACATAAGCCACTCTAAAGCGCTTTACATTACATATAATTAATACAATTAGCATATACATTAATCAATACAATTTTGAGGAATTCGCAGGAGCTGCCTTATCAGGCACCGACTGCTATAGTCCTATGCCACCTGGCTAATATCTCCCTATGTGTGTATGCCTGCGTGTGTGCTGGAGATGTAATGTTATGTCGACATGTCTCGATGATTATTACATTTGTATGACCATCAAGTAAATGGGACAAGTCGTGTGGCTTTGTTTCATTATAACGACATTTTTTTTATGAAATTTAGGAGAACTTCTCACGCTATTTATCACAAAGAAATGTTTCCGTTTTAAATTTCAGTTTCGTCCTTTCCCTATTCCGTGCTACCTTTACACGTTTGTTTATGATAAAGTTAAGTTAGATGTATTTGTTCATGTGTTAATTTCATTTCCTTTTTTCTGTCTCTTTTATAATCACATGGCTTACGGTTGATAGTTGTGTGTTGGATTGCAATCCCCATAATGCGATAAGGAATAATACATGAAGAAACTAAAAGAATTTACAAGAAATATCAATTTCTGTGATTGCAATGTGGCGTTATAAATAAAGCAATGAATGAAAGAGAGAGTGTTGCATGCGAGAACATCATATTATAAAGGAGGTTAATCCCTGGGTTCCCAAGACTTAGCTACCTCGAACGTTAATTTTCATAAGCTGGAGAAATCATTTACCAAATTGGTAAACCAAATTGACTTTCTATTTCAAAATACGTTACCACAGTCATTATAATGCATATTCCAACCTTACTTGGCTCTTTACATACGTAAATAAAGGGAACCGCTGGGAAACCCACCAATCAGACGGCAGTATTCACGCACGTGATAAGACACGAAGCCATGCTTCCCACTTCATAATTCCTTCAGCGGGCCGTGTTTACGGACGTAAATTGACTTTAAATCACTTCCATGACATTCGTTGGTTAATAATAAGTATAGAACCCAAGCGAAATGTCAAGATGCATTTCTATAAGTCAGCATTAAAGACATTTAATATCAACTTACATTATATCATTATGTATTCCTTTCTTACTTCGTACTTCTAAGTGATTACAGCTGTACTTTAAGTCACCAGATGGTTGACTCTGCTGGTGGGCTCTCTGTCCCCGAGGTTGGCTGTAGCCTCGTAGTCTGAATTCATTCTGGCAAGTTTTACATGAAAAACTTCTTTAAGAAAGAATATCTATTGCCGCGAAAATTGTGAATTTGAAACATTGTAACGGGTTTTATGAGCACAATTCCTTTGCTATTTTCTAAATATACATGTTTGCACTTCAGAACACTTTCGGCAGTGATATCAATCGTTTGACCATTTATAACAGCCGAGAAATTCTTCATAAAACTTAGGGGCTGGTAGCCAGTCTACTTCCGAGGGTGTGTTGATGTACTTAATGTATACATATTGTCATTCTAGGCAGTCAGCCGTGAATATTGACCCAAAAGTTCAAAGGGGACTTTTTATCTTCGCTGTTTCAAACGCCTGCATTGATCCTATAGTTTATGGTGAGTTTACTACAGTGTAATACAATTAATGTATACAATCAATATCAAACGTGATCAGCGGGAGGAAAAAATCAAACTTTCAAAATCACAAAATCAAAAGAAGTAGAGAGTAAAAAGGTTGAATACAGTTTGTGTTTAATTCTCTTTTTGAATTATCCCATAGTTTATTTAAGCCACTGATTCATGCTAATCAATCAAAGTAACTGCTAGTATAATATATCTATACATTTGCATGTACTCTGAGGAAACAGCTGTTTTCGAGCATAAATTAATATCACTGATCCACGCAAATAGTATAACCTAAACTACATGACAATATCTTACAAATTAAACATACATGCTATTTTCTTTTCAGGAATGTTTACTACTGCGTTCCGTCGGGAAGCCCGAAAGTGGAGGGGTTGGTTCAAACAGAGGCTCAATAAAATGGGATTGTACACTATGACTCCGAATACTGCCATAGAACAGGAAAACTTCAAGTAGATCCGAACGGCAGTGTGTGTGATTCAATACACGGGCTTACACAGCTACCGTAGACACACATAGTCAACACTTACAGTACTACTGGGATTCTGGTCCCGTGCTCATTCTATTGCCTTGCTCATATGTCGTTTGAACAGTTTCCAAAATATATATCTTATGTTAGAATATATGGCGGAAAAAAGCTAAACATATAACAACATCTTAATTATGATGTGGATATGGTTTGATAGAAACCAAATGCATTACTACTATATGCATTGTTTTCAATTTTCACAAAACTACAACGTGCATTGTCCAAAATGGCACATCCACTATGTAAGATAATTTTATAATAAAATAATAATAAAAATTGGCGAGGGGAATTTTGTAAAAAGATTATTTTATTAAGGTGTAAGTGACAGGAGTAAAATGCGTGTTAGTGATATATTTTACGGAAAAAAAGAAGAGTTGAACATGTTTTGTACGACGATAAACGCTGACAGATAGCGCGGTGCTGAAAGTTCTCGACTGGAAAGCTGTGATACTCTATTGTAATGTGTTATTGCTACATTGGATGTGGTAGAATACTGTATCTTTTCTATGAACTGATTGGAATTCAATCGCATTCTTGTTCTGTTGTAATCTAATTATCATTTTAACTAAGTTCCTGTCTTACATACATGTACAACTACGTTAAAGTTGAAAATAATTTCATACACGCATATGAAACTTTCTTTCTACTGTTGAATAACAGAAACGAAACAGCAATGTATTCATATTTACGAGACGGTTACACTCTTACATGCAGTAGATATATTTGTATCGATCTACTTTTTTAAAACATATATATGTATGTACGGAAATCGAAAAACGAGTTTATGACAAAAAATAGTAACATTATAGGTGTTGGTCTACCTAAGTATAAAAGATAATCACAATTCGTGTTAGCTTCATTTTCCTGTTTGATATAATCATTTTTGATAACATATACTGCACCAAAGGTATACATGATGCACATCTTTGTTCTAGGTCTATAACATTCCAAAACTCAGTATAAAGTTAAATGTTTTATCGCAAAATGCAGATATCAATCACATTTGAATTCCTATGAAAAGGAATTGATTGGGAAAATAAAACTTATTATAATTTTCAAATTTCCATAGTAAATAAAAGTAAGAAAATGAAGGTTTTTTTTAAATGCTTTAGTGAATGTTACCTTGGACACTAGTTCTGAATTTTACGTCCGCTTATTCCTTCTTTGCGTATTCCAGAGTTATCTTCTCTTGTGAGCAGGTATTGATTGTTCCGTCATCGGTTTGTGAGAGTAACATCATCAATATTTGAGAAAACGACGTAATTTTCTCACACAAACCAATGACGTAACAATCAATATCTGCTCCCAAGAGAAGATAACTCTGCAATACGCACTGACGGAATAAGAAATGGAAAATTTGATGCCAGAATATAATTGTTATTGTTTAATCAAACTTGTCCTTGTTTATTTTCCTACTCCTTAATTTGTTAAATTTGTGTTTGTGCTGTTAGATACTTATCAGTGTACTGTTACGTATGATATAAATTGTAATCTATTCTTGTGACCTACACAGGAAACAAAAGATATTGTCCATATTATGCGTGGTTATAGATATCGTCCATATCATGTATGGTTATAGATATCGTCCATATCATGTGTGGTTATAGATATCGTCTATATCATGTGTGGTTATAGATATCGTCCATATCATGCGTGGTTATAGATATCGTCCATATCTTGTGTGGTTATAAATATCGTCCATATCATGTGTGTTCATAGATATCGTCCATATCGTATGTGGTTATAGATATCCTCCATATCTTATGTGGTTATAGATATCATCCATATCGGATATGGTTTAAGATATCATCCATATCACGTGTGTTGACATATATCGTCCATATCGTATGTGGTTATAGATATCGTCCATATCGTATGTGGTTATAGATATCGCCCATATCACGTGTTGTTATAGATATCGTCCATATCATGTGTGGTCGTAGATATCGTCCTTATCACGTGTGTTAATAGACATCGTCCATATCATGTGTGGTGACATATATCGTCCATATCGTATGTGGTTATAGATATCGTCCTTATGACGTGTGGCTATAAATAACGTCCATATCATGTATTGTTATAAATATCGTCTATATTTTATTTGGTTAAAGATATCGCCCATAGCTTGTATGGTTATCTAGACGTTCCCCAACTAGTGAAAGTTTGTTATTATTATCATCTTACTCAAAATAGTTTATTTTCGAATGAGTATAAAGACACAAGGTGTATCGAGTTGTTTTAACAATTTCATAATCAACTATCAGAATAAAAGGAACATACATATAGTAACCAGACGTTTTGAGTTTTCCCTTTAAGTTTATAGTTTATCTGAAAACAAAAACACTTGCCTCCCTTGGAAATGCATTATGTCTTTTTTCCGCTAGGGGAAACAGTTGTCATTCATCAAGTCGTCACAATAAATAATAAGGTCGCAAAGCATTGTTTCATGACGTCCAATTGATTAACCAATCAACTTACGTCCAGGGTGTTACATATGAACTCAATTGCGAGTACCAAATATATTTACAAACTCTCAAAAGGTTTATCGAAAAAATCGCGAGTAAGGAAACGTACAGCGGTTTTGTAATATCCATATCTCATAACTGGTTATCTAGCATAACAGATATACCTATACTGCACGTTTTTAATTATTACTTTTGATTATTAAATTTGTATTCAGATGACTCAGTTGAGTAATTCAAATGAAAACGGGCCAAGGACACGTGATCAATAAACACAGAACAGCCGTCAGAGTTTCGTTTAATTTGGCGAAGACGTGAGGAACTGTTGCAGTGAACGCACCTCATTTCGGGACTTATTTCGTCAATGCAGGATGATGCATTGTAATTGTTGTCACCAGCTACAAAATGAAGTTGTTTTTGCGTGTGTGGCCTTACTTCGGCGTTGTTGTCCGTGTGCAAAAAGAAAGCAAGTAAATCGGAAATAACTGCCATGATTGAGAAATGGTCAACTTCCAGTCTCCGTAAGGCACAAATAAAGCTGAACAAAAGCCATTCACAGAGTCAAAAAAACACATTTATATATCTGTTCATGTAAGTGTTTTGTCATTTTGTAAGTAAGGGTACTATTATGTACTGCTGAATGTAAAAATGTACTTTCTTGATTTGTATCACTTGCTCCTTATATCTGAAGGAACTAGTTTTATATTGTTTGTTCTTGTGTGAGTTTCTGTATAGACAATTTCTTCACCGACCGAATCAACATATGTTTCTGTATAGATACATATTTTACAGACCAAATTATCAGTGTCCATTTCTTTTAGATGTATACTTATATATCGAATATTTTTGTTTTTTCTTTGTTTTTAATATAGACATATATTTCACTGTTTAAATCAGCATGTGCTTTAGTATACGCATAATTACTCCATTGAACTCGATTCCGAATGAGTATACTTAATATGCATATGGCTTACAGGTTGAATATACTACATTGTAATTATGTGTTGCTGTATAAATATACATGGCAGGGGTTGATCATTTTGTTTTTAAACGGAGAATGTTGTCCATATTATACCTGCTCAAATTCATTGTTTCTAAATCATTGTTTAAGTATGTAATTGATCATTCCTATTGTTTGGTTATTTATCAACATAATGTTGTTTTGTGATATGGATATGTGGATCTTTTGTAAATAGCGGCCATTCTTGACATGAATGTGTTCATTGCATTATGAACATGTAATAGAACGGAACCCATTCATTCAGGAAATATTGTGTCCTATTCAAACACTATCCCAATCATCATTGTTCTGTCCTAAAGTACATTATTAAAATTCATGATTTATATATTATCCTGGTGTGTTATATCTTATTTTTCTCCGTCATTTTCACAAGATCATCGACGTAATCTTTGTCGTTACAACTTAACATGAATGTCGATACCTCCTATCAAAACAAGAATTCACTGTGCATAACAGTTATCCTAATTTCATTCAAATTGTGCAGTTACAATCAACGAGTATGTGTAGTCGATCATTTAATGACGTCACTGTCTTGCGATAAGACAGAGTGAAAACTGAAATACTCAAACAAACCACGTGACAATTACAATGAAAGTAAATGCGGAAATTTCTCTTCAACAAATCAATAGTTTACACTTATGCAAGAATTACCACACATGTAGATGAATCGTCCAGGGTTATTATTGTCTTTTACATTGAAATCACTGATAATTACGTATACCCTAAAGCATTCGCCAGTAACAGAAAATATGAGTAACATGCTTCATGAGGTTGTTTGTTCGTTTTTGCCGGAAAGTTTTCATGTGTTTCTAAAATGCGAAACAGAGGACGAAATATCCGGAGAGTCCAGAAATTGTAAGAATAGAACCAAAATGAGAAAAGTCCGAAAACTCAGACGACACACAAATTAATATTCATTTACATCCTTTCCCTTTGTATTTCACCCTCTTGCAATAATCTGATTTTAACAGAATCAGGGAGATTGAAGAATGGCACCGTTCTGTGGATGACCCCTGCTGTTACGTTAACCCTTGTAAATGACGCATTCTTGATCCTCATCTTTTGCCAAGATAAACTTAACAATGTACATGTCGGTCTCTGGGCATCCTCGAAACTTCATTGGTTCGTTGTGCAAAGAATGTAAGGGATCGTATCACTGGAATCCGGAGGTTGGTTTCTAGGATTCATATACTGTATGTGTTATTAATTATTAAAAAAAGAAAGCCAGGGGGTAATACATACATGAATGTCCAGGATATTGGTGAAAAAACATATACTCGTTAAGTTACAATGTATAAAGATATCTTGTGGTAACTATTATTCAAAAATGTCCTCTTGCTAGTAATAAACGTTACACGTAGGTACATATATTCAAACTAAATAATTGTTGACAAAAACAACTTTACAAATTAGATCTCCGTACACTTACATTCATCACAAATAT